AAAGAATACTTAGTAGTTATCCTTGATTTATTCCATAAAATATTGTGTCTATTGCATTGTTTGAGAATTCTTGTGTAGATCTCATCTTAAATAAGATAAATAGCTCTTCATTTGTGCTATTAAACTATCAACACAATGCATTTTCTTATATTCTTTGACAAATGTAATTGTTAGGCAGAGCTACTAATATATTCCAAATCCTATAATTAGGAATTTTAATTTAATTTGTTTTGTTTTTAAATTTCTAAATTGTATTCATACTCTTATTGACTGAAAATATACTTTTTTTTTCTATTTTCACAGGAGGTGCATTTTTTACAATCTGGAACAAGGTTTTGAATTTAAAACCTGCACGGTCCGTGGCACGATTCCTCATTAGGCGGCTACTCTTAATACCAATTTCTTAATAGCCTAAATTTATGCTATTATGTTGACCAATTTAGTTACATCTAAAAAGCAATTAAATGTTAGAATTTAGATTTTATGAAAATTTCTCTGGTTCCTACTATCTCTGTTGCATCTTTGTATTTTTGAAGTTAATAATCAATGGTCTCCCCATGCCACTCTCAGAAGTTCAGTATATATCTGGTGGAAGCCAAATTCATCTTATGGAATTCCTGAGTTATATATGAATATAGAAACATCTATGTTGATGGCAGGTTTTGATCATTTTTCCAATATTCAATGTAAACTGGTAGATAAGCAAGGTAAATTTCTCTCCAACAGATTATTCTTACACAATACAATGTTAGCCCTAGCCGGTTTGGCTCAGTGGATAGAGCGTCGACCTGCGGATGAAAGGTTTCCGGGTTCGATTCCAGTCAAGGGGTCAGTTGCAGGCTCCTACCGGGCTCAGGCTCTGGTCAGGGCTCATGCAGGAGGCAACCAATCGATGTGCTTTTCTCATATCAGTATTTCTCTCCCTTCCACTCTCTCTAAAAATCAGTGGAAAAATATCCTCGGTTGAGGATTAAAAACAAAATAATAATAAAATCAATAAAGACATTTTAAA